GTGTGATAGTATTGTGAATCACTTCACCGTATCCTGAATCAACCTAGACATTGTGTTTTGATATTTGCGATGTGGCTACATTGGAGTTCAGCTTGCATCCAGCTAGCCACCTCCGTAACCTAGAGTGGCACTTTGCATTCATGTGCAGCTGAGGAACTACTCCAGTACATGTAGGTACCTCACTCTTCTAGTGAAACTACAGTTGGTAAGATCAGCCGAGGATAGACCAAATGTCATTTGAATCTTTGTTGGATGAGAAGCAGCTGCCATGTTTAAATGTCTTTTGCCGCACTTACCTTCGGCTCTTCAAACTTCAAAGTCAATGGACGTCTGTGCGGTTCAGTATGGTGTCCACTTGCGGCACAAAGAAAAGTCTTCACCGCGTTCGGGTTAGACAGAATGATACGGATCAGCTGTTCAGGAGAATCCAGAAATGAGGGCACTCTCCCATATTCTAGGTACAATAGGATAGCACCGGCCAACAAAACAGCACACATACAAAGAAGATGTTTGGAGTGAATAGATCACCGCCCCGGAAATCATTGTGCATTCATAGAAGCCTGGCTACGGACGTCATGTATTTCATTCCTACAAGGAAGTCAATCAACTTGTCTTGGCGCTGTACTAGAGATCACCTAGTAGATATATCTACTGTTCACCGGAGGGCTTCTTAGCTTCCGGCAGCTTCCATCCTCAGCAGCTCACTTTGAATCTACCTGATATTTTGCCAGTCGACTAGACCTTTGATCAAGACGTACACCTACTATTCATTTAAGGTCACTAGGTATGAAATTCTTGCCATCTGTATCACTCTACATTCTGTACTAACTACCTTACTGAAGGTCAAACACAACAGAATGGCCCGGTTGTTTGACATTCCTGATTATGTAGACCCAGATGAGGAACGAAGATACAAACAATGGCGGGGGTTGCAGCTTGACATTTGGGCTAGGTACTTCGATACGCGTTGTTTGGTGGATGTGGGACGCCACGTAATTGGTTCCGCGGAGGATCAAGCTAGAACGATCTCTGCAGATAAGAGGTTCGGGTTCATCTACACCGGCTCCAGTTCGTCATCCAAAACTTCAAACCCAGTGTTGATCATCAGGAAATACTGCTGTCCGGAAAAAGATCCCGTTCCCGAGACTGGATGGACGGAAACCGCATTATCGATGGTCTGCAAGATATATGTCGAAGACAGTCGAAAGCAGCTAGAGAAGGAGGGTATTGTTCGCGGACAACTAAGAGATCAGTTTCTCAGTCTTGTCATCTTCTGTGGCCACGAGTTCCCAAAACCCGCAGAGGTCGAGTTGACGATGGTTCAATCTCTCATTGGCCAGATCTTGAGGCTATGTGGGTTCGACTTTTTTGACAACGACGCGTTGTGCACTTTCAAATTCTCGGAAGTTTCCTGGCTTGACCATTATTGGTTCGTTTTCAAGAGTCTGGTACGACAATTACCAAGACAGATAACCGTCATCTGCTATATCGACAACCCTGCCGAACTACCAGCCGAAATCTTCGACTCTTTCATTCTGGGAAAGCTGGTGGCTCTATACAAAGAACAAACGGACTTGGCAAAGAAGGAAGAAAAAGCGCAATTCCTACTCGTCGCCACGGACCCGTCTGAATTTGGGGATTTCCGTATTTCTGAAGCGGTAGAGAAGATGGGGTTGGAGGTGAACGCATTCAAATATTACATGGAGAGCACAGAGACCGGGGAATTGCTTCGTCACTCAGCAATTATTGAACGCAGATGAAGTACGACTGGTAGCGTATTCCAAGACATCACTACCAATTTGACAAGAGGCCCAAAGTCAGTATCAGGAATTATGGAACGCATCGATAGCCATACTGAGTGGTCGGAAGGAGCGAGTACAAACGACAGACCTTTTTTTGGTTCAAACCTAGGTACAATCTCATTCCGTCGGTGCTCTGAGAGCCGCTATTTCAGATAGAATTATTTGTCTGTCTTTCTTCGAGAAGAGGAAAAACACAACAAACCAAAAGCAAAACAGCAGAATACCTAAATCTGATAAAAAAAACTATCGTATCATTATAATCTTAATTGTATCGTTATGAAGCTACCGCTCTGTTTGTTTTCTCAACGTACATTTTCAAGCGTCCGCAATTATTAATCAACCTAGATGAGGAACCTCGACTTTTTCAACTATTTTACCTAGAGAGCAGGTGTAAAAGTTCACCGCCCTATTTCTATTACCTTAAGGTTTATGTCGGATTAGTCTCGTAGCGTATAGTAGTAATGTCTTTGGTATATTGATTAGCTAAATGCCTTGATGTTACTCCTTGTACTCGAAAACAGGGCTGGGTTTATCTAAGTAGGTACATAATGAATTTCAGACATGTCCGATTAAGATAGCCAGCCTATAACAACTGCCTTCAAGGCTCTGCCTCTACTTTGAGATCGGAAGGCTTCCCTTCTTCACTTTTGATCTTTTCATGGCGGAAAGCCTTTCTCAACTCGCATTTTCCAACACTCTTACCACCAGCTTTGCACTCGCTGCATACCTTGCCGTGCTTGACAAGCAGGATGTGGAGCCCATACTTGTCTTCATCTGGGATTCTGACATCGAGATGTGCATGGGTTTCGTCCCGCGAGGCGCTCTTCGGCCGCCACCCCATGAGACCGGTGATTCTCCACACATGGGTATCTACTGCGAACGACTCTCTCTGCAGACAAAAGAGGAGAACACAACTGGCAGTCTTGGGGCCGACGCCCTGAAAGCTAATGAGCTCCTGCATCGCGTCTTCATTGCTGACATTGAAGAGATGATCGAGAGAATACGAGCCGTACTTCTCCTTGACCTGGTTCAAGATGCCGACAATGACCTTACTCTTGACTTGGCTCAGCCCACCGCACTTGATGGCTTCCTGCAGCTTGGGAATCCCGCCCTCGACAATCTTCTCCCACTCGTCGCTGCCGCCGTAGACGTCGTCCATGCTCCTCTTGGCGCGGGTGGAATTTGTGTCGCTCGTGTTCTGGCTCAGGATGGTCCTGACCAGCGCATCGAGGACGGAGGGCGAGTCTCCGCAGCCGGCGCGGGTTGAAGATGCCTTGACTTCGGCAGGGCGCTCCCGTTTTCCGTGCAGTTTGGCCAGAATGCGGTGGGCCAATTTGCACTCGTCCGGTGTCGGGTGCGGGAAGTCGGGAAAGGGTGACTTGTCAGCGTATTGAGAGTAGGCCTTGAGCTTTTTGGACTTTAAGTCTGCGGGAGACTTTTGGACTTTTGCTTTAGTGTCTGGGCTTTCAGATTTGACGTGTTCCTTCTTGAGTGGTGTTAGGGCTGGTACGTTGGCGAAATCCGGGGACGCCGTGTGGTCAGCATCCTCCGTCTTGACCTTCTTGGCCGGTGTTGAGCTTGCAGCTTTGCTTGTTGTCCGTTTCCTCTTCTCTGGCTGAGGCGTATTCTCCTTGTCCGACGAAATCTGCTTCACAGACCGGCCCTTTTTTGTTGCGCCATTGGCAGCACTCGGGGTGTCTGCTGGCTTCGTGGCAGTCGAGGCCAAACGAGCACTCGAACGGGTTGCTCTCGCCATTGCAATGAAGACAGATCGCATGCACTGATATGGGTGGATTGATGAGAGGTAAGGCAGTTCGATATGAGTTATACACGAAGCGAAGTAGTCAAGATGAGTGGACAGGGCAGGCTGGAAGGTGAGTTCAACGCTGCATGGCCGCTGTCGCTGATCCAGGGGTTGAGCAATGACGATGCAGAAAAGCACGTTGCCGACGCCATCACCGCGCCCTCAGTGGTGATGTCAACGAAATGGACCCACCGAGATCCACCACCCGCCTCAACAGTCAATGAAAATGCGATGGTTCCTGGCCCGTGCCTGATCGATACGCACAGACCATGCGATCATGGCCGCCGGGATGAGCTCCAAGGGAAGGAACCTACCATATGTGCTTGCCTTAGTTACCGAACGTAGGTAAGGCAGGAACATCGCGTCGTGACTTCTTCGTCGTGTCTTCGATTTCCATAATCTTCTCGGGGCCACCGCTGCACCTTCCTTTTCTCCAGTTTCCGAGGTACCTTAGGCAAGGCATCTAAGGCAAGGTAAGTAAGGAAAGTCCCGGTCGACTTGGATCTTTCCGAGAAGAGCGACAAAGAGAAGGGGAAAGGTCCCTCCGGCCTCCGGTACTGATTGGAAGTACGTAGCTCCACTTTGCTTCAAGGCTCCCGTCCAGCTCCTCTCTGTCCTCCTCCAATCTATCCATCAAATGATATTTGCTTTTTTCTTCTTCGCTCGACCAGCACTTGCGACTTGGCGCATTCACGGCCACCTCACGCTGCTGCTGCCCTTGAGCAAATTTGTGCCAGTGAGTGCAACCTGAGTGCAGCATACCTAGGCCGCAGCCCCCTAAGCCTCCGAAGCAGCCACTCGCATCTCGTCGAATCGCCCTCGTGCCTTTCTCAGCCCTCCATTGCCAACACATTCCACTTCTGGAGCACGACCTCTCCACGCACGCACGGCATCGTGAGCGCTTTGGGGTCGGAATTGATACCTCACCATCATTGATCATAGCCGGCGACGGGCCCGGAAGGCATTCCCCGTCCTTACGCAGTGACGGCCCCCCCGCATCATACTTCGTACATCCCTGAGGACTGGCACGTCGCCCACGTGCATGATGGCCCGCTCAAGTGGACTCGCCTCCATCCTAACGGACGTATCTCGTTCAAGAGGGTGTGCTGCAGGGATGGAAGAACACTCGAATCTTTCCTGAACAGGACCTCCTCTTGCAAATACTCAATCGATCTGTAGGAGAAGACATGGATCTTCCATGCTATCGGCCGAACGTTCTACTATTTTCAAACACACCCTGAAGATCAAAACCGTTTCTTGTCGCTTAGAAGGCTGATCGCGTCAGCATACTGATTTCGAGTGCGTTTGAAGATGTCTTGCGCTAGGCCCGCGGCCGAGGATCATCGAGAACGTCTCGACAACTTTACTGTGCAAATTTTCCTCGTCTAAAGACCTGATCGATTGATAAGTGCCTGACGCATACCGCCAATGGATCATGGGCGCCTATAATACGGCGAAGCGTCCAGATTGCGCTACACGGGAACGCGCCATGATTGGATTTGAATTTAGACGCGCCGTCGCAAGATTCGCGAGGAGAACAAAAGGCCTAAATGCCAATGTCCAACTCTAAATGAGCCGGATCATTTGGCGCAAAGCTTCGCATTCGAGCAAACAATGGACGGCTAGCCCCTACAAGCCAGCAAGATTCAACACTCGCTCTCGACCTCGTCAACCGTCAGCCGAGGCAAACGCAACCTGCAAACGACCTGCTGGATGGTGGCTACAGGACTGTTCCCCTCGTCGTCAGCTGGCCGGTTCGCCCCGTATCGTTTCTATTTTCACATCGGCATTCTGCGTGTCGCAGGCGAAAGAAGAAACTTCACCTCTCTCAACGACGCGGGTGCCAGCATGCCAATTTCATCCACCTCAAATCATTGGATAGTCCTCATCATCCCCCAAAGGAACTTTCCCCGCCACAGACTCTGAGTTGCAAATACATGCTCTTGGCGGTGGTGCAATGCAACCTGGAAATGTCTTGGACACATGCGGATCACACCTAGCAGAGTCGCCAAGATCTGGAAGCGGCTTAGAATGTCAGCCTAGCTTGTATTCGGCCAGCGTCGTGGGCGCAACATGCGGGCTCCTTTCTTGAATGAAAATGCTGTCGCTCCCTCACCTTCCAGATGCGCCCCCCGTCTACTCCAACACCCATTTCATTGTCGGCAGTCCTTGGACCAAAGACAAGCTATCACAAGCACTTCACAAAGCCCCGAGAAACCGTCGAAGCCTCACCCAATCGCTCGGGTCCGCCAACGAGATATGCCACTGACGATTTGTACAACATGAGTGTCAAGTCCGTGAACGTCGGCCGCTTGAACGCCGTGACCAGCATAGCCAGTACGAATAATTCAGAACCAGAAACCAACCAGCATGGCCACCTCACTCTGTGGCAGTCAATCAAGAAGTGGCGTCGCGTCGTTCTCTACTGTATCGGCATGACTTCCGCCATCCTGATGTATGGCTACGACTATGTCATTGTTGGCACAGTTTCAGCAATGCCCAGCTTTCAGTATGTCTCCTCACCCTTTGAGGCTCCCTATCCTTGGTATTGAAATGTCTGGCTAACAGAACCTTTTCAGGCATGACTTTGGTCAACAGCTCAATGGAAAGTGGATTCTGCCTTCACTCTGGCTCGGTCTCTGGAACTTCGTCAGCCCAGGCTGCTCCATGATTGGGTCTTTGATTGGAGGTGTGTTCCAAGACAGATATGGTCGTCGAGCGTCACTTGCATTGGGATCCTTTCTGTCAGCCATTGGGGTTGCTATTTGCTTCGTTTCCAACCTCTCTCCTGACATCCATACCCGGCGAATCATCTTCCTCGCTGGCAAAGGCTTCCAAGGAGGGGCCATCGGCATGGTCATGACGACTTCCCAGACGTACATGTCGGAGATCTTACCGCCGAATCTCAGAGGACCGCTCCTGGCCTTTTTCCCAATCTTCACGCTGCTTGGTCAGTTGACTGGTGCCGCTGTCATCTTCGCATGCCTCAACCTGGCGAACGGGTACACCATTTGCTTTGCATCACAATGGCCATTTTCTGCTCTTCCATTGTTGATGGCATTCTTGATTCCCGAAAGCCCGACATATCTCATTCGGAGGAACAAGAATTCTCAGGCTCACAGGGCTCAACTCAAGCTGGATCCCGCTGGTGCCGACCCTGAGGACACTCTCGACAACATTCGCCGCAACATCGAGCATGAAAGGCGACTGACCAATGCGACCTATGTCGACTCATTCCGCGGTGTCAACCTTAGGCGCACCTTGATCATCATGTTCTCCAACTCATTGCCAAACATCTTCGGTCTGACGCTGCTGTCAAAGTCGAGTTACTTTGTGCAAGTCGTTGGCATGAAAGCCAACCTAAGCGTCATCGTTCTTATACTCGGTCTCGTTTGCGGTTTGATTGCCAACATCATGAGCGTATGGGTTCTCTCGAGGGTAGGACGTAGGCGGCTCATCTTAAGCACGCTATCCGTCTTGTCCATAGTCTGGACCGCCATGGGAATCGCAGGTTGCTGGTCGGGTCCAGTGATACCATGGTACGTTAACGGTAGCCCCGTGGTCACGAACACCGCCCTAACTGACTGCAACAGGTACACATCCATGACACTGATAGCGGTGGTCATTGTGGCGGGTCTGGGAGTTTGGCCTGCTTCACACGTTGTCGGTGCCGAAACCTCAGCGCTGCATTTACGGTCCAAAGCCCAAGCTATCGGTTGGTTTACCGCGGGAGCAAACAACTCCATCTTTGGATTTGTGTTGCCATACATCTTCAACCCCGACAAAGGCAACCTTAAAGCCAAGACCGGTTTCGTGTTTGCTGGTCTTTGTGCCCTCGGGCTTGTCATTGCCTTCTTCCTGGTACCCGAGATGAAGGGACGAACGCCGGCTGAAATTGATCGCATGTTTGAGTTGAGGCTACCGGCACGACAATTCCGCCGCTGGACCAACTTAGCCTCGGAAGGAGAGAAGAATGGTTCGGCTAGAGTTGAGAACTCTGCCGCGTAGCATTCGGCTGCTTTCCTACTTACCCTGAATGAACATGCCTGCATTTCCATCGCCATTTAGCGACTGCAGTGAAGACCAGACTGCGCCTCGCACCTGCCGGCCCCATTGACACTCACCTCAATCCGCAATGAAACCTGTCTGCACGCACTGGCATGGCGTTGGTTCTCATCTGATGATGTCTTCCGCCAAGCTTTGCGCACCGGCATTGGAATCATCTTTGTCCGTGACCATGAGCTTCTGTTCAACGGCTTCCCACCCATTAACGATGTTAATTAGGCCCCCAGTCCATTTCACCAACGTGTTCGAATCAATCGGTGCATTGGTTCTGTGAGATATTTCCAGTCATCAGAACAATCTATGCCGCGGCATGAAGTAGACCACAGCTCTCTCACCCAGAGGTCAGCAGTCGTGCAGTGTCAATCGAGTATAGAGCCCACCTCTGACAGCGCTAAACCTCGACTAGTGACCGGGCGCCCGAACATCAGATCAACATCGTACGTGTGGCTATCGAAGGCTAATGGTGCATGTTGCCGCGCGCGCTCAAGCAATTGGTGACTGGGGAAAGGAGGACTTTCTGCAGGATCCTCTCGCTCAAGCAGTATCAGTGGCTGTGTTTCGTTTCTGATTGTCAGTGACGTGAGACGACATGGTCGGGCATCCACAGTCAGCAAACACTTTTGCGAATAGCCAGAAGTGGACGAAGCGAGCCTTAGCTTGAATGGAAGAATTGGGTAGCACGTCAACTTGCAATCTGACCGCCTCTTCCGCTCGACAGGCGCCCGCTAACAATACTTACCAACCAACAGACCCAAACACCCTCATTAACTTTTCTTTGTACGACTTACCCGCATTCACCCCCGAAAAATATCGCCTAGGCAGCCAAATTATCATCGAATAAGCGCACAGAAGCGACCGCCCGGTCTCCTCAGTCACCCACCGTCCATGGCCCAAGCCAAGTTCGATGAGAAGGCACATGCCATCAGTTCTCACTTTTGCCGGTAATCCCATCTGGCTGGGATGTTCCAAGACTGTCTGTTCGAGATCCCGGCCCGATCGTCTGATATCAGAGACAGCAGAACAACAGTCTACGCCGACTTTCCGATAAGACAGTTCTTGATGAAGCACCGCCACTTGATAGCTTAAAACCACCATGCACCAATGAGGCACGCACGGGTCCCGTCTGTCGGGTACGGGTACGACATCTCTACCCGGACTAGCCCCTTCGAACTTTTCGAGGTCGCATCCCGGTGCTCGATTCCAGTGTCGTGCTTACACACGTTGGCCTGAAAAGAATAGCAAGCATCAGGATGGCCGTCATGGCACGGAAGAAGCACCATGCATGCCAACAAAGGTGTGCTGGCGTCGCTGTCAGCACTTGAACAGACAAACAAGAAAGCTCACACATAAAGCTGGCCACAGCTGATGTGAGGACAACTTTTCAACGGTTATTCGTGAGGATATCAGCTTAATCTTATCACGGCCGCTGAGCAACCCAATCTCTAGGATCCTACCAGACGCTCAGTGGCCTGAGTCCGAGGCCTTGGGACCAGGATTCCAAACTCTGTGATTACCTATGCCTGAATCGGCGGTACGTCCCCAAACACCCAAAGCTACCGCCCCTCATATCAGTTCAGCCCTGGACTGTCCATGTGGTATCAAAGGACGTTGTTCCGCACTGATCCACGCGGCAGCAGCCAATGAAACAAGCGAGAGATGAGTGCGGACGACAGCAAAGCATTCGCCGAGCTGCAAGCAAGCAGGCTCGCAGCCCGGCGACGGTGGTCAACAACTCGCCCCCGAGGACCCGACTGCCCTTTATGGCCCGAACTGTGATACTCTTTGAGGCTCAAGATTCTGCAGTCTGCGGTGGGGCGTAAGCCGTTATGTACCTCGCCAATGTGGGATGCATATGCCAGCGCACGGCAAGCCGGGCCTCGAGCTTGGTTGCCACCTTGGGATGCGAAGCAAGCACCGACAGGGCATGTGCTGCCCAAGATACTAAAGAAGAGCGAGCACCTGCAGTTCTCGTTTCTCTGCTCCCTCTGTCTTCAGCTTGTCAACTCTCTCGGTAGTCTTTGCAAGTTTCGTGCGGCATTGGTCTTGAGCACGATTGCCCAAGATGGCTTACCGACAACAACATGAGAGCGTCCTCTCGACGTCGTCTTACTCTTCGACAGCGTACGATCCGGCCGCTGCTTCGTATACCGCCATCAAGGAGCCAAAGGAACATGACCAGCGAGGAATCTCCGATCCTATGCTCGTCGACGAGTCGGACAGCATCCCAGAATGGAAGCCTTCCAAGCATCAGATGGTCATCATCACGACGTTATCCATCATGTCGTTCGTGATCGCCTTGGATGCGAACGTGATTGTCACGTCTTTGAGTGTAAGTCGGCCTCGGTAGTGACGATGTTTTAGTCGCTTGGTGCTCACATGCTTCTCTTGCGCAGTCCATCATCCAAGATATTGGGGGAACATCTACGCAGGCTTTCTGGGTTGGCACATCCTACTTGATATCTTGCGCAGTCGCAATGCCTTTCTTGGCCTCTCTGAGTGACATCTTTGGCCGACCCATCATTCTGATCGGCAGCTTGGTTTTCTTCACTGTTGGAACTATCCTTTGCTGCGTGTCGAACGGCATCGGGCTGCTTCTCGGAGGTCGTGTTATTCAGGGCATTGGTGCCGGCGGCATGTATGTGCTCAGCTTGGTCGTCTTTACCGATATTGTGCCACTCCGCCATCGCCCCAAGTACTACGGCATCATGTGAGTAATGATCAACCTTGCGTGCGTAATCATAACTGACACCATCTTCAGTCAGATGGCGTGGGCTATCGGCTCCCTCACCGGCCCCATCATCGGCGGTGCTGTTGCGGAGCACACTACCTGGAGATGGATCTTCTACCTGAACTTCCCCATCTGTGGCTACTCCCTGCTCGCCATCCCTATCCTCTTGACCTTGAAGCCTCCTACGGCGACCTTCAGCGAGAAGCTCAAGCGTGTCGACTGGCTTGGAGGCTTCTTGTTCATTGGCTCCATGGTTACATTCCTCGTTGGCATTTCATGGGGCGGCAACGACTTCCCCTGGCGCAGCGCGCAGACTTTGGTGCCCGTCTTCATCGGCGCTGCCGGTTTGACAGTTACCTTGTTCTACGAGCACAGCTACGCGAGATACCCGTTCTTGAAGAAGATTCTCTTCACCGATCGTAGTGCCATCACGGTTTACGTCCTCGGCCTTCTTCAGGGTTTCATTGTACGTGCATCACACAAACACGCCTCCGATGATTATTGGCTAACCTCTAGCAGCTCTACGGTCAACTATACTACATCCCCTTCTACTTCCTGTCCGTCTCGCAGTACAGCCCCACCATGGCCGGTGTAGCCATGCTGCCCGTCACCCTTCTCCTCCTCCCAGGCTCCATCATCTCCGGCATCCTCGTCTCCCGCTTCAACGCGTACCGCTGGTCCATCTGGATCGGCTGGGCCCTGATGTCGATCGCCTCCGGCCTCCTCATCTACTGGGACGTGGACACCTCCTTGCCCGTGCACATCGTCACCCTCGCCGTCGGCGGCATCGGTCACGGCTTCGTCCTCAACGCCCAGACTTTTGTCACGGGCGCCATCGTCGAGCCCGAGAACTCGGGTCACGCCGCGGCCATGTACCTCTTCCTGCGCATGCTGGGCTGCGCCATCGGCGTCAACGTTGGTTCCACCACGTTCCAGAACGTCATGGCCATGAAGCTCGAGCGCAAGGGTATCGCGCAGGATATCGCTCAGCGAGCCGAGGAGTATCTTCTCGTCATCAAGGGCCTGGCAGACGGCACGTTCAAGGATGCTGTCCTGGAGTCGTATGCGTACGGCTTCAAGGGCGTCCACGGTGTGTACGTCTCGCTGGCGGTGATTGCCTTCTTCGCGAGCTTCATGATCCGTCACTATGATTTGAACAAGATCCACGAGACGGCGCATACGTTGCACCAGAACCGGGTGTCGAGAATGTTTGATACCCGCAAGAGCGCGAGCCAGGGACGGCCTCAGCCTATTCCCTCGTCGCCTGGTGACAGTTCTTAGACTACCTCCGGGTTACGATGATTGAGCTGCATGAGTGTTATCAGACGCTCAACAACTAGCATCCTTTGCAATGACATGCATGGATAAGTAAGGATACTTGGGGTCGAGAATACGGATACACGGACACACTTGGCACTGAGCATGGAGTTGCGGTATCATAGACACAGGGTATGCTGTTGGGGTTGGAAGGGATTGTCATGGGTCATTAGGTCTTTTATACGGATAATCTAGCATCATTCATTTACTTGCATATCAATACGTCTCCGGTGTGCAGCAACTTGTATATGACGATGATTCATATCATCAAAAGCATCTGGCTGCCTCAGATTCATGTGACGTCTTTGCGCATAACGTTTAACCAGAGATACCTCAATCCCTAGCTGTTCTCTAACAAGATGGAGAGGATTGATAGTTAATGTGGCTGTTCCGAGTACCTACGAATACTGGTCGAGCTGTAAAGATGTCAACTGCTTCAAGCAACATTGAGACGGCGATCTCTCATATTTATCGACTTTATACACATAATACCGGTATGCGTGGCAAGCACTTAGTATAAAAACGAAGCACCCCGCCCTCCAAGATCCATATTCGGCGCAGTCCATGCTTCAAGGTACATTACTAGAATGGTGTAAGAACCAATTGCCGGACTGTTCTTTTCCCCGCCCTACGGATACAAAAAGTAAGGCGGAAAAAAGGGACCGGCAAACGCATGAGTCGGGCGGAATTGAGTTATTCACATCCTGGCCGGGGTTGTAGTGCGTTTGATGAGCTACTCAAACTCTATTGCGTGTTCCCCACGTCCATCATCATAGATTCACCCGAAGGCGCCGGTGTCCGTACGCCGTAGTCGGGGTAAAACTTCAATTACCTGTTTCGCTAGGTAGTTTCTTCTGTAGCTGTGATCTTTTTTTGGATTTGTCTCGCTTTCGTATCGTCTTATCCTCGTTTGGGGTGGTGATATCTCACTTGAGGCACATGCCATTGGGCTATTCAGTCGCTACCTAGTCCAGACTCATCGGAGTAACCACGACGATGCGGATCCATTCACTCTTTCATATTGCCGTGCCTCTATTGGCAACCGCAGCTTCGGCCGCGGACGGTCCGATAGTCGACCTGAAATATGCCAAATACCAAGGAACATTCAACTCGACCTTGAACCTCAACATATTCAGAGGGTAAGCTCTCTCAAAGCACCAAGTCAAACAACAACTTCCTTCACGAGCTAACCTCCCCCAAGTATCCGCTACGCAGCCCCGCCAACAGGCGACCTCCGTTGGAAACTCCCCCAAGATCCAACATCCAGCGGCACAAACACAACCAACGACACCCTCACCCAGGCCACAGCAAACCCGCCACGATGCCCCTGGGCCCGCCGCTCCCTTCAATACCCCAAGACAGCAGCCGAAGAAGCCGCCCTCCAAAACTTCGCCTTCGCCGGCGACGAGGACTGTCTCTTCCTCAACGTCTTTGCCCCAGCCGGCGCCACAGCCCTGCCGAAACCTCTCCCCGTGGTGGTATGGATCCACGGCGGCGGGTACAACCTCGACTCAGCGTCCTCGTTTGACTTTTCTTCGCAAATTGTGACGAACAACAATAGCTATGTGGCGGTCGTGTTACAGTACCGGCTCGGCGCGTTTGGGTTCCTTTCGTCGGAGGAGCTTGTGAAAGGCGGCGGAGTCGCGAATGCTGGGTTGTGGGATATGGTTCACGCGCTGAGGTGGGTGAAGAGGCATGTGGACAAGTTTGGAGGGGATCCGAGGAAGGTGACGGTCGCGGGACAGTCTGCTGGCGCGGGAGGGGCGTTGCTGTTGGCTGCGAGTGACGAGGCTGTTGGGTTGTTTGATGGTGTCATTGCGAGTAGTCCGTACCTGACTACTCTGCCGTAAGTCTAGACCCCTGCTTTTGGTGCTCCAGATCTATATGGAGAGGAGGAACTGACATATCATGACAGAAAACACGATGGCGATAGGCCGACGAGGGCATATCAAAGCCTAGCAGAGCGCATAGGCTGCTCCACAAACACCACATCTTCGTCCTTACTCTCCTGCCTTCAGAAAGCAGACTCCCTCACGCTCCAAAACGCAAGCGACTGGGTCAGTACGCAAGGCCGCTACGGCCAATGGGAATGGCGACCCGTCATCGACGGCAAACTCGTCAGAGACACCCTCACGCAGGAGTTATCTCAGGGAAAAGCCGGTGTCAACGGGCGGCGGGTCCTCACCAGCAACGTCGCGGACGAAGGACCGTACTTCACGTGGCAGAATATCACCATGCAGGCACACTTTGTCTCGTTCCTGCAAAGTAATTACCCCGCGCTCTCAGAGGGTAACGTAACGGAAGTTCTCGTGACCTACTCGCAGAAGCACGAGGCATTCTTGACGGCCAACTCGAGGGATGCGAATAACACGGACCCGGGCTTCAGCACCAACGGTCTCGAATCACCCTACGCGACCACGGTATCGGATTACGCTACGGGCTGGCAGCAGGTCGCCAACAACTTCTACGCCGAAGCGACGTTCGTGTGTCCCTCGCACTGGCTTGCAAACGCGTACGCTGCCAAGGATGGGGCGAGAGCGTGGCGGTATCAGTATAGTGTTCCGCCGGCGTACCACGGCGTCGACATTGGTTCTGGGTCGGCTGTTGATGTGTTGCTTGCGCCGGTGGATACGCCTGGGACGGCGGTCACGACGCTTTTGAGGAGAGCGCTGCAGAACGCTTGGGGGCAGTTTATCACCCGCGGGGAGGATTTGATTCTTGGTGAGAGTGGAGGAAACGCGACGGCGTGGGCGCAGTGGAAGGAGGGTGGGAGGGGCGTTGCGAGTATGTTGAATGCGAATATGACTGGCGGTGTACCGGTTGGTAAGGTGTCTTCTTTTGATGGGATGGTTAGTTTGAATATCACTAGCTATGCGCCTGGGGATGCTGGGAGTCCGCCGCTGGAGGCTGTGTTGAAGGTTGTTGATGGGGATAAGTGGGAGGATGGACGGGGTGAGAGGTGTAGGTTGTTGGCGGATTTGAGCCCTTGGCTTTCTGATTGATTCTCGGCAGAATATGCTACATCAAGTAGATCAGGGTCTTCAGGTTTGGAATCAATGAGGTGATGGAATATGGTTCCATCGATACAGATAGCTCAGTTTGCCCGGAGATGTGCCAGAGCCAATTATGCTCACCAGCAAGGCCTCTAATCGACTCAATAGGCAAGAGGTCGACTACATTACAGTCAATGATCCTTTTGTTGATCTCTACCCAGGCTTCGAGTTGCAACATTTGCTCGTCAATTGGCCATCTCTTGATTATTCGATGGAGTTGAAGAGACAAAAGGTTCATTGCTATTACGCTTGTTTCGATTCGGCTGATTACCTAATTAGGCATAGCTCCGGATAGTCCCCTCGGCACCTCGGCCCCGCGAGTTTGGCCGTGGATTATGTATTTAAAGTGCTGCGTGCTCTTGTCTGTGAAAGATTTCTTTGAATTCAATTGTTGCGATAAAAATGTCTCTCAAAGGGCTTGAATAAAGGCAAAGACTTGCCAGGTATGGCTATGTTGACGGGGCTCTTCCAGCCTACTTGGTAGTTCGGGCGGATGAGTTAAGACTGGTTCAGCGCAAGTCTCGTAAATTCGATCCATAGCTACTGGTCAGGACATAATCGCCAGAAGTAAGAAAGCGACCGAATGATTTGAGTCTTTGTATTGTATCTCAAAGATCGAGTTTACGATGGGCTCTACAACATGATTAAATCAACTTTGAATCGATACGTACGTATTTAGAGGGAAGCCGATTGTTGGCAGCGATAGGACGATAAGCCCCGCTCCGAGGTTCGGCGAAGGGTTCCTTATCTCCCATCCCCTCCACCTCCGCGTATCTCCCCTCATCACACTTGCCCGACAACCAGCCCCCAAGACTTCGGGGTCAACAACCATAGACAGGCACAATTCGGTCAGAAATCATCAACCGCGCTGCTTGAATACGCTTCGTTCTGTAATATTGAGAAAATCATGGATCCTGCATCCCATGCATCACCGAGGCGCCTGTCAATGAGCAGCAGACACGGCGTAAGTCGCGAAGCGGCCAAGACCATTTCGGCGTGAGTCTCCGAGACCCCTTCCAACCCCCGTGCCCGTCCGCGCGCCCGGGTCTCGATCGCCTCGGGAGCACCACATTGCGTGAGCCTGGACCGCCGAGACCCATTCTTTCCATCCGTTTTCCAGGCCTTGCATGCATGCAATTGAGTTGTTTGTGACGGAAAGTCGCTGACGAATTTGGGTATCCGGCAGATGTCTTACGTGCAGACGGAAGAAGGTGAAGTGCTCCGGCGAGGCGCCGTGCACGTATTGCAGCAAGCGAGATCTGGAGTGCCAGTTCCCCGAGCCGGGGAAGAAGCGGGTCTATTCTGTGACGTGAGTTCATTGATACCCAAAGTGTAGTGTATGTCTATGCACATGCACTTCTGTATGCTGACGACTCTCGATAGGAGGATACAGGATCTCCAGGAGAGGCTCGCGCGGTATGAAGGCCAGGGGTTCACCCTCGGACCGACGCTATGTAAGTGACGCTGTAACGGTGCCTCCCAGTTCGCAGTATTGACGGAGATATAGCTCGAGACAGTGAGACTATCAGAGTACAGACCACTCAAGGAGCGTCGCCAGACCGGCCATCGACGAGGGCGACGGCGCAGACACCTACGGATAATGCCACGCAGGTGAATGCTGCCTCAACGCTTCTGGGACTGGCCCTAGATCAACTCACGTCGCCGACGCCGACCAATCCGACATCTGGAGGCCATGGTAACAACCATGTTGCATCATCTCCTGGCTCCGGTGAGTCCGCTGCTTCGCCTCGCACATGGACTTGATTCGTGTGCTAACCAAACTTTTCCAGCCATCGCGGCCGACTCGTCGCTGAGCTCAAGCCACACCTTTGGCTCACGACTGCAAAACCTCTTGGAGCATCCGCGTCTAGGCCGCCGAGAACCAATGCAACCACCCGCCCGCTCCCTCTCCCAAACGACGACCCTAAAACCCCTCGACGATGGCCCCGCCGGCGCCGGAGGCATCACCCTCCCCTCGGAAGACGAAGCCCGCCGTCTCTTCGAGAGCATGACCTTCTTCATCGGGTACACGCAGCACCACATCGACACACGCGAGTTCTCGGACCGCCTCGCCTTCTTCTACGCGAACCTGGGCGATACGTCACAGGCTATATCACAGGCGCAGATGCCGTGGTATCTCGAGATGCTGCTCGTTTTCGCCATTGGGAAGCTGTTCTCGGGCGGCTTCGACGGGGAGGAGAAGGGCGAGGGTCTACCGGTTCCTGGGGCGAGCATGTTTGCGCACGTGCAGGCTCGGTTGCCTAGCTTGAGCGAGCTGTACGGGCTGGGCAAGCTGGGGATCGAGATTCATGCTTTGGCGGCGGTGTATTTGCAGAATGCGAATCGCAAGGAGGAGGCGTATCTCTATGTGAGTTGTTCCTGTCTTTCTTGGCATTGTTGGAACCCTACTAAACTGCGTAGATCAGCTCGGCCCTCCGGCTGGCGACAACACATGGGTACCATCGCAAGTCGGGGACGCAACATTTGTTGCAATCGGAAAAGGTGCATCTAAACCGTCTCTGGTGGACTGTGTACATGCAAGAGAGGTGAGGAACAAGGCGCCAACGTGTCGACAAAGGATGAAAGATGAGCTGACGCGGTGTGCAGACGACTGGCGGCAGCAACCGGCAATCCTGCTGGGATTCTTGACGATGTCATCGAGATCGATATGCCGACGGACTCCCCAGGTTTCCCACCGGCGCTTCCTCTGCGAACCAATATCAAAATCGCAAAGGTTACCGGAAAAATCCTATCAAGTAAGATGGCTGCCGTGTCCGAAGGAGACGGTTGGAGCTAACTCTATCAGCAATTTATGGACCGGGGAACCACCCGGAAGAGACGTTCGTTCCAAACGTGCAAGAAATCGTCCAGTCGTTGTACTGGATTGCCAAGGAAATCCCGGGCGAATTCTCGCCCAAGCTGTCTGATATGCCGTCCATGGAAGGAGACGTCTCCTTGAGAACATCGGCGTATCTCCACATGATGCTATATCAGGTGGGTTATTTCTGCAGCAAAGTGCCACGACATCGCTAACGACTCGGATAGGCAATTCTCCTGACGATACGGCCTGTGATGCTCCACGTCTCGAAACTGATCTTTGACGAGGAAAGTGGAGAAAGTCTAAATCTGGGGTCCTCGCCACTCGGTAGATTGAGTCGAACATGTTCAGAAGCGGCCCGTCGACTGTTGGAGGTCCTGATGCTGTTACGGAAGAGGAACATCCTAAGTACGTCGAAGCAATTCCCGATCCATGACTCCTCTTCTAGAATCTCGACTGACCAATGACCACGTTGTAGCAACCTTTGGCTTTTTCGATCTGGACGCCATCTTTTCGGCTGCTTTCATCATGATCCTGACGATGACAATCGACTCGACCTGCGAGGAGAGCCAGAAATTGGCACCCAGCCCAGGGTTATCAGAAGCACTGGAGATACTCGATTACCTGGTGGGCCGCGGCAACGAGTTCGCGCTCCAGCGGGCTCGAGAAGTCAGGCGAATGCGAGACCATCTGTCGACGTTTCTGGACATTCCCAAGAACAGCCCAAGCGAGTTTCGTTCACATCCACCAGTGGCTACAGGGTCAGGGCCCAGCGGTGGGCAGCAGTCGCCCGCAACGATGGCGATGTCTACGTCTGCAGAGGAAAAGGGTGCCGGTGAGGATGCCAGGGCACGTCAACAGAACTTCCGAGATATGACAGTGCGGGGTTCGGTCGAGAGAGGGGGCCTAACGCCGTCGGGGAGTAGCAAGGCGAGCCAACTGGGATCGAGGAGTCTGTTGGATTCGAGTTTGTGGAACGATATCTCGTATCTTTGGATGCAGCCCGCCCCAGGAGCCGAGGATGCGCAGGCGTTTGAACAAGCGGAAGGGATGGCTGACTTGTTGCCCGAAGATGCGTATAATTGGAACTCGATCTACCACAACCAGGATCTCGCCCTGACGGGGCAAGATCTGGGGGATTTTGGAGAGTTGGAGAGACACATTCTAGGGTTTGGCGGATGAAAAATCGGGATTTGTTGTAATGATAATGATACCTAGTATAAGATGAGTCAACAAGAGTCAATGGGGGTTGATGGTGATTGAAAGAAGATACCAAGAGTCTCGAGCAGCGTCATTTCTTGCTTGGCTGCGTTGTTAAGCACCAAGAGCAAGCTGCAAAACGCATCACTGCGCTGGATGAGTCATCCTTTGATTCACCTGTCAGGCAACCACATCGGTTTATGCTTAATTGGGAGCCTGGGCACTCAAACGAAGCCATTGGCGAATCAAAGGTCAAGAATGAGAGAAATATTGACGAAAGAGGGAGAGATGAAGTTGAGAGAGCAAAATGCGAGAGGGCGCATTACAAAGCAGGTGGCAGAGTAGAGGTCTGATTGGCTTCGCTGGGAGGTGGAAAGTCAGCCTTGGGGCGGAATACGCAGCGGCGCACAACGTTTTGGCGGACAAAAGTGGAGATGGCAGCCGATTATGGGGCGATGCCACCCCTGTAAGTCACTGTCTGCCCCTGTACGTCTCGGTCTTCCCCTGCTAGCGTCAAAATTGCTTACCAAAGGCAGCTTTCGAGCTGATCACCTCGGCCAATCAAAGCGAGCGATGATTGGCTCTTTGTGGTAGGGAGCTGTTGCCTGCAATTGCCCTTGGTACTTTGGCAGCGCTAGGTGACGCTTGACGAACGACCGAGAAGGCGACCGAGAAGGAGCGGCCGCCAACGACCGGTCCTGCCTTTGGTGATGGATGCATATAAGAATCCTCAGGTTCTCAGGTCTCTGTGTGTCTCCTCCTCCTCTTCTTACTCCCATCCATCTCAACTTTACACCAAGCTTCACCACCGCCTATCCTTTTGCGGATATTCATCCAGACGTTCCTGGTACACAACGACACATCCCAGGGGCATCTCAGTCAACAACACCAGACGGGACGTTCCCAACAGCTAGCAGCAAACAAGTCAATCTTCTGCAACTCACGGCCACTTAGCCATCCCGATGAGTCTCTTTCATAACACCACATCAAATCGACCCGACGCACCGAATCCCGTCATGCTCTTTGGTCAACCCCGCCCCTATGGCGGACCCGGTCTGTTTGGGGCCCAGCCTACATATCAACACATCTGCGGTCTCTACTACATCGATCCGCATCGCCACCAGAAACATGCGCGGCAATATCTTCCCACGCTTTCACAGTCGGTGCACGCTCGCATCATTGCATCGACATCTCGGACAACTCTCACCCAAACCTTTGTCAACCCCTCATCGACGGCACCCATCCCCGAGCTTCGCTACACCTTTCCCCTCTATGACGGTGTGTCCGTAGTCGCTTTCACCTGCACCATCAACAACGATCGTGTCATCCGTGGTGTCGTCCAGGAGAAGACTGCTGCTCGCAAGACGTACAACCAAGCTGTTGCCAAGGGCCAAACTGCTGGTCTCTTGGAGCAACTCCCTGATGCGAGCGATGTCTTCACCACCACCATTGGCAACGTGCTCGCTGGCGCCCAGATTGCCGTCGAGATTGAATACCTCGGCGAGTTGAAGCACGATGCCGAAGTCGACGGCATCAGGTTCATCATTCCCACTTCCATTGCCCCCCGCTATGGCGCATTCCCTGGCGAGTTGCTGGCCAAGCCCGCCAACGTCTCTGCAGAGGACGGTATTCGCATCGTAGTTGATGCCCAAGTGCCGGCTGGAAGCTTCATCAAGTCGATCCAGTCGCCTTCACATCCCATTTCTGTCTCTATCGGCTCAACGTCCACTATGCGCGCCAACGCCACACCATCTCTCCAGCTTGCGAGTGCCACACTCTCCCTTGGCACTGCTCAACTGGAACGCGATTTCATCGTCCAGGTCATTGCGACAAACACCTCCAACCCCGTTGCAGTTCTCGAGACGCACCCCGCCATTCCTCATCAGCAGGCCCTCATGGCCACCCTTGTGCCCAAGTTCAAGATTGCTGCCACCAAGCCCGAAGTTGTCTTTATCTGTGATCGCTCTGGTTCTATGGAGGGAAACAAAATGCAAGATCTCAAGAATGCTCTTAAAGTCTTTATGAAATCTCTGCCTGTCGGATCCATGTTCAACATCTGCAGCTTCGGCTCCAGGCATGATTTCTTGTTCCCAAAGTCCGTCATGTATGACCAGAACACCATGGAAACTGCCATGCGACACATTGATACCTTTTCCGCCAACTACGGAGGCACCCAGATCTACAACCCCATCGAGTCAACTTTCAAGCGACGCCACATCGACCTTGATCTTGAGACTTTCGTCCTCACTGACGGCGAGGTTTGGGATCAAGATCGCCTCTTCGGCATGGTGAACAGAATGCTCAGTGAGTCCAAGGGCGCCATTCGTCTCTTTACCCTCGGTGTCGGCAGCGGTGTCAGCCACTCTCTCATCGAAGGCCTCGCTCGAGCTGGCAATGGTTTCTCGCAATCTGTCTCCGAGGGGGAGAAAATGTCTGGCAAAGTCGTCCGCATGCTCAAAGGAGCTCTCACTCCCCATGTCAATGATTATACCCTCGAGGTCAAATATGCCGATGCCGAGTCTGAGACGGAGCCTGAAGATGACTTTGATATCATTGAACCTGAAGATGCAACTCTCGAGAAGACAGCCGATGGCAAAGTAACCGAGAAGCCCGTCAAGCCAATTTCTCTCTTTGACACCATCGCAGACGACGATGTTGACATGGAAGATGCCCAAGCTCAAGACGACGGCTCTGGACTGGAGCGGTACTCACACATTCCGACAGTCAAGCCTCCCAAGATCCTTCAAGCTCCCTTCCAGATCCCGCCTCTCTTCCCTTTCAGCCGCACTACTGTCTATCTCTTGCTCTCTCCCGACAGAGAGCTGAGATCCAAGACTCCGGAGGTCTTGGTTCTGCGTGGCACCTCATCCCAGGGTCCCCTGGAGCTCCAGATCCCCATCACCCTGCTTGACGATAAGGCCGAGACGATTCATCAGCTCGCCGCTCGCAAAGCTGTCAAGGAACTGGAAGAAGGCCGTGGCTGGATCTACCACGCCAAGGGTAAAGATGGCAAACTTCTAGAAACGCAGAATCCCGGCCGTTTCCCCGGCATGGTTGAGCGAGAGGCCGTCCGCCTTGGCATCCAGTTTCAGGTAGGAGGCAAATGGTGCTCCTTTGTTGCTGTTGAGCAGAACGACACTCCAAACATCCCCGCCGCCAATACAGAGCAGGTCAACCCAGAGCAGGCCAAACCTGGAGCACAGAATCTGTTCTCGAATCTCCAGAGGGGGCCAGATCCGGTTCTCTCATCACGGTCCCGCGCTTATGATGATGGTCTAAACTCATCATCGTCATTCGGCGCCGCTTCCTCATCATCAACACGCGCATCACCGTTCGGCATGTCAACCTCAACAACTTACTCAAACCCATATCCGCCACCTACCGGCGGTTCGTTGTTCGGCGGATTAGGTTCCTCCACTCCCCAGCATCAGCAACGTCCAACAGCGCCTACGGCCTTTGGATCCTTATTCGGCCAGCCTGCCCCGTCGTCTACTCCAGCTGCCGGTGGCCTCTTTGGTGCAAGTTCGTCTGTCACTGGTGCCTTTGGTGCTGCCCCGACCGCCGGAGGATCTGGACTCTTTGGTGGATCTGGCGGGGGCTTGTTTGGACATCCCACGGCTTCTGCGCCACCCAACCCAGCTTCCACCAGCCCGTTTGGCTCACGTTCTTCTACCGCTGGTGCGTTCGGCGCATCTACAGCCAGTGCAAGTCAAGCTGGAGGATCTCTCTTTGGTGGAACTGGATCTGGTGGAGGCTTGTTTGGTCAATCCATGGCTGCCGACTTTGTCCCTTCCGTGCCCCCGACTGGAGGTCTGTTTAGTAGCGCTTGTCGTCGGTCTGCCACTGACGATTCTACGTCCGGAGGTCTGTTTGGCAGCATATCTGAGGAGTATGCCGGCGACCAGTCCATTTCATATGAGACTGAAGGTCTCTTTGGCAGCTCAAGCGCAGCTCCCCCATGGTCCGACAGCGGAGAACCTCCCATCGTCCAAGCTGCCGCGCTGGCCCCTCCCACGGACCAGGTTGATGCCGCTCTGCTGGAGCAATACAACCTGGAGATGTCTGAAGCTGCATGCATGCCCATCCCTGATGAAGATACTGATGATGATTGGGAAAATGAAATTGCCCCAGCTCCAGCTCCTGCTGCGGAGCCCGCTCTTGATCTGTCGATGAAGAAGAAGAAGTTCAAAAAGGGCCAAGATTCTCCCAACATTGTGCTCCCGGGTTACGACAACTTCTCACCACCTACCGATCCGTTCTCTGCCATAGTATCGCTCCAGAACTTCAACGGTAGCTGGGATTCTTCGAAGGACATCTTCAACATCATTGGCACTACTTTGGATGTGGTGAAGAACGCTCTGCGCTCGCTTGGTGTTGACGACGAGGGAGTCCTGTCTACCTCCGCAGTCGTTGCCTACCTGCGCAAGGTCCTTCCAGCGGAGCGGGACAGCTGGGAGATGCTGGAGGAGAAGGCGGTTGCTTGGCTCGAGGGGGAGTTGGGCGAAGAGAAGGCTCAGAAGGTTTTGGCTGTTGCTGATGGTCTCTTTTGAGGATGTTGTTTTGGACATGATAATGAGGTATTTGGATCTTGTGGACAGCCGATCGATGTGACGGACTGGTAAAGTTCCAGCAATTCAGGGATTGATGAAATAGTACAATAATAATATGATACTCACGAAACATGATGCCTCTGATAAAGTGAATTCGTAACATGACGTGCATCCGTGCATCTATCTATCAATGCTCACTGCCTCCGTCCACGATTAACCTTTTGCTTTCCAAGTGAATGCTATTACTTGATGTCTAACGGCGAGCTTGCTGGGCTTTTTGGTCCGAATGCAACGATGATCAAAGATCAAGCGCCATTATTGCCGCCTCAGTCGTCGACTCCCTTCCCTCACGATAATCATTGAACCAATACCGACGAACAATCTCGAACCCGGACCTCGCATACGTCTTGCGCGCGGGATCGTTGTCGAAGTCCACGATGAGTGATATCCGCGCCCTCTCCTTCTCCTTCCCTTCTGCGTGAGTAGTTACTATTTCTGAAGAGACATGGGCTTTGGCGAACTCGATTAGTTTGGTGCCGAGTTGTTTTCCTCGCGCTGAGGGTGTCACGAACATGCCGTTTATGACGTATTGAGATATGGGGACATCTGTTGTTGGACCAAATTCATGGAGGGAGGTTGAGAGGGTTTTTGAGTCGAGGGGACCGGTTATTGTTAGTGTTGCTAGCCATTCTGCAGTGAGAGCCTTGTCTAAGGAGGGGGAGTCATCGGTGGGAGACGGTGATGAGGCCGCATCCTCGTAGATGATTATTGTTGTTGCGCCGGGGTTCGTGAGGCGGGATGCCCATTTCTCCGGGGGAAAGGCGACTTCAAGGGCGTGGGTTGAGCCGAAGCAGGATGGGGAGAGGAGGAGGGATGTGAGGCGGAGGGATTTGTAGCGGTTGAGGAGGGCTTGGAATTTCGCGGGGGAGGGGTGGGATTTTGGGAGGATTAGAGGGGTTGAGGGCGCCATCTTGAGATTTGAGATTATTGAACGCTTTGAGTTGTGGGAGTGAAACGTGTGAAGCTCGTGGTGAGGTAAGAGAGTGTGAGATGGTGAGTGAGGTTGTGAGTGAGTCACTATCGTTGATGAGATTCTGGCTGACTTCTTCGTGATGATCTCGGCGTCTTATTGGAGCGAATTTGCGACGCATTCTGATCCCATTTGAGGTAGCATGAGTACCAATGTTATTCTGTAGCTCAGACACGTCTTCGTTCCCTCAAAAAGATAGAAATTTTGCCGCGTCGCGCTTAGCTTATGAGAAAAGAAACCTCGGATAGTCAAAACTTGGTCGATAACGTCTTATAGACGCTGAGCTACTATGAATGGCCGGCTCTCGCTATGAGCACGCGGCTTGCCTCGGCCCAATTCTCGTCCGGTTTCCGGGGCCGGGGGAGGGAGATTCCCCCCTTGGTAGTTCCGGCACTCGTTGCGCGCGGCCATCGACATCGCTGTCTTGCGGCTTGATTTCATCTTCCAATCGACGAAGTTCTCTGGGTTCATGATTCTATGTTCCCAATGTTGCAATTTACTCACATCTGAGGGTCTCCGACTTGAGTTGTTCGGGAAACGCGTCATTAGAGCGTTGCACCCGCCCCCCTCCAACCTCTCCTCGTGGCGGACCGTATCGCTGCTCATCAACGGGTCACTTAACTGTCTACAACAACCTTCAATCGGCTTAAGAAAACACACCGGAGCAGAACCAGTGGAATCAATGGCGTTCCGCGCACTCACGCGCTGTCGCGCTCTGACGAGTGGCACGGCTAGACGCGCACCATCCCGGCCGATTGGTTCAGGAACCAGCTCATCAAGAGCCAAGTTCTTCCGATCAGCTCACACGGGGCCACAATCCAAGAAAAGCGGGAGACTCATACCTCTCCAACTCTTGGTTCTCGGCGCCCTCCCGCTCTTTGCCGGGTATCTAATCGGCAGATCCAGCACCTCGGGATCGGCCGCCGAGGGACAAGCGAAGCTATCTCATGTGGATTTCGCGAGCCGGAAGGAAATGATAAAGGTACTGTGAATCCCTGGACCACAAACCACGAAGATCTATGCTAAATGAGGATCAAGGCGGCCCAGGAGATCTCAAATGCTCTGGGTGAAGGCGCAGTCAGCTTCGATGAAGATGAGATTGAGGTGCATGGACACTCTGACTGGTCTACGTCCAACTCGAGCGGTCGCCCTGTGGCTATCGTCTACCCCAAGACGACTGAGGATGTTTCGCAGATAGCCAAGGTTTGCAACAAGTACAATGTGCCTATGGGTAAGTCGCCTCTCTAAACATGACCCTATGGGTTATCACCACTATCATCGAAGTACTGACTAGTCCTAGTGCCTTTCGGCGCTGGCTCTTCTGTCGAGGGAAGCTTCTCATCGCCATATAGCGGAATCTGCATTGACTTTGTGCACATGGACAAGATCGTTGCTTTCCACCCTGACGAGTACTCCCTCTCCTCCTTCTACCACGAAGACCACCAGTCCTAACACAGACCCAGCATGGACGTCGTCGTCCAACCAGGCGTAAATTGGGTAACCCTCAACAAAGAAATCCAATCCTCTGGCCTCTTCCTCCCGCTCGACCCATCCCCCACAGCCTTCATCGGCGGCATGGTTTCCACAAACTGCAGCGGCACAAACGCCTTCCGCTACGGCACGATGAAGGACTGGGTCGTCAACCTGACCGTCGTCCTCGCCGACGGGCGTGTCATCAAGACGCGTCGGCGGCCGCGCAAGAACTCGGCCGGGTACAACCTTACGAGCCTTTTTGTTGGCGCCGAGGGCACGCTGGGGATCGTGACGGAGGCGACGGTGAAGCTCGCTGTCGCGCCGGCGGATACGAGTGTCGCCGTGGTGTCGTTTGGGACGATTGAGGAGGCGGCGAGGGCGGCGACGGGGTTGATCAGGAGCGGGGTGCCGCTTGGGGCGTTGGAGTTTTTGGATGAGGTGCAGATGGAGGTTATTAATCGGCATGGGAGTGAGGCTGTTAGGAAGACTGCGTGGGATGAGAGTCCGACGTTGTTTTTGAAGTGAGTTGTCACTTTACCCTCTACCTTCCTTCACAAGTGCTGACACTGATTATTCAGGTTCGCGGGAACTACAGACGGCATCAAGGGTGATGTTGCTAGGGTCAAAGAGATTGTGCAGCCATTCAAGCCGCGCAAGGTCTTCTTCGCCAGAAACAAGCAGGAAGAAGCTGATCTATGGGCCGCGAGAAAGGAAGCTCTTTGGACAATGACTTCGATTAAGCCAGAGGGGTACTCTCTCTGGTCAACGGATGTGGCTGTGCCGATCTCGAGATTGGCCGAGATAATCAGTACGTCTTGGAAACTCTGCAAATGTTTGATACTTAGTCTCGAGACACGTCCGCTAATCAAAAAGGGTCTACAGCATTGTCGAAACAAGACTCTGGAAAGCTCGGTCTCTTTGCGAGCGTCATTGGACATGTTGGAGACGGCAATTTCCACCAGGCGGTCATGTATGACCCGAAGAACGAGGAGCAGCGGGCTTCGGTTGCCAAGTGTGTTCATGATATGATGGGCAGAGCTTTAGAGATGGAAGGCACTGTCTCAGTAAGTCTTTTTCCCCTTGAAGGCTCGGAAAATTGGTGACTGCCATGCTGACTTGTCCTTGTAGGGAGAACATGCCATCGGTATTGGGAAGAAGGATTGTCTTGTTGATGAACTCGGCGTTGATGCTATTGACTTCATGAGGACGCTGAAGCAGGCGGTGGATCCTAAGTAAGTTTATCGACGGTCCGAATGCTACGCTTGCGCCATGCTGACTATTTGTTAGATGGATCATGAATCCTGGCAAGGTGTTCGACCTCCCGAGCAGCTCAAAAGCCGTTGCTGCATCATGATATCTATACAAGCCTTTATTTAGAAGCCCGACGATTAGGGCCAATGAAGTTAAAGTGGCTAGTTTGCTATCAGTCGATAAATCATTGACCCCGTTGCCGGCAAGATCAAGATATCTTCGAGCGAAAACCAAATGCCGTTCCAACACCGATAGTCACAGCCCGCTTCCCATGCAGTTGGTCGCGTTGGTCGCGACTCATGAGCCACCACCAAACCTGCAATTAACGTGCCTGAAACATGGAGCTGCATATGCGCGACCCTTGAATTGCGAAGCGATCGTTGCAGTAGGCTACAATCAGACAACCAACACAACGTGGGGGCCGTCACTGCTCCCACGTCTCCAAGTCTTCGTTGTTATTCTCGCCGGCTGGGGTTTTTCCACGTCCACTTCCTCTACCTTGGCCTCGACGTCTGTCCCTACTCCAGCTTCTACCACCGGTTCATCCTCTACCTCTGCATGACTTTCCGTCACTCCTCTAGCTTCTGTCATTTCTCCAACCTCTGTCACTATTCCAGCTCCTTCCCCTGCTCCAACCTGTGCCACTGCTCCAGCTTCTATCCCTGCTCCCGCCTCTGCCTCTCCCGCTGCCTGGGTCTCTGCTACCTTCCCCTTCTTATACCTATTCCCATCGTTCCTCAGTGACTTCACCGTAATAGTAGGATGCCGTCCCATAAAGAGCTCAATCCACCTCTTGCTGAGCCCGCGGGTGTCGCCCTGCGCAGCGAGCACCTTCAACGCAAACTCCTTGATCTGAGGGCGGGTGACGGGGAATCCCAGCTCCGCCTGCGAAATGGCCCAGGCTTCCAGGGACCGCTCTTGAGACACGCTGAGGCGTTGGTATTCCTGCTTGGCCTCTCTGCATGTCTTCCTGCCGGGCGTGAGCCGGTGGTAGAGGGTGGTGTAGGGAATGTCCCAGGCTTTGGCGGCTTTGCGCGGGGGCATGCCGTTGAACACGTCCTTTTCCGCGTTTTTTATGTCTTCTTGCGTCCAATTTGGCATCGCGAATTAACTTTAAAACTAGAGTCGAGCTGTTTCTTTTTGCGTCATTTGACTCGTCGGGGCGAAGCATGGTGATGGTGTTAAAAAGGTTAAAAAAAGATTCGGCTGAATGCTCCTGCAGTGATCCCATGTGGCCAGTGGGGTGCTACCGTGGTGTGCCCCTCATGCGGTTTTAGTGCAGCAAGCCACCCATTCTTAGCCTTGTCGAACACAAAATAGTGTGGTCACGACATGCAGGTTGCGACGAACCAACCTGACTCGAGATACTGTTG